TCCAGCTTGCACTGAAATGGCTGTTATAGATCTGGAAGCCCAGGGTGATATTTGGCAAAATATGTGGGTTTTCATTTATTTCTTTTACAGCAAACACCAGTGCCAGGATATGCTGGTAATGCTGAATCAATACCCTACAAAGAAGTATATAAGTTGCATCCATATGCTTCAAAATGTGATGTGTGCTATATTGTAATTAAATATATATCAAACAAATGATGCTGTATCTCAGATAGAGTATATAGCTTCTATTATGGAAAGTGTGACTTGGGAAAAAAATCTACTCCCCTAAGGCATCACTTATTGAAATTTGAATGTGAATTTAGTTTGGAACTTCTAGTTAGCATGCGTGCAACAATTTTGTTACCTACTGCAACTGGCTGCAGTCAGTAAAGGCAAACTATTCATACATTCGCATTTAGATTATAAATTTGTGGCTGACACTCCTTAACTCATTCACAGGCTGACTCGATTGTTCTGCATAACCTAAGAAGCTGAAACCCAATGTTCCAGTTCATTCACTTGTAGAATATCTTAACCTGGGGTCCAAAGCATTGTCAAAATTAGATTCATATGGTCTATTCAATTAAAAAAAGGATGTCAATATGCTAAAATAACAATAGGAAAAATCCTACCATAGCATCTTAATGGCCATCAGGTTTACTGTGGCACATATTCTCAGGGACTAAACCTCAGAGAGTGATATTCAATAGGTGGGAAGAATTCATATTTGTGTCATAACATAACACTCCACCACCACACACAGAGACATGCAGACAGGCAAACACATCAATGTGCTAAGAAGATATTTTGAGAAGAAGGAGAAGCAGGAAGAAGAGGAAGATTATTTTTAATAAAATCAAGGATTGGGAATAATTAGCTTCCATTTATTACCAAAGACACAAACAAGTTCCAAAAATCATTCATCTCTAGTTCAGAATTCTGTTCCAACTAATTTGTTCAGAACTTAAAATATAGTTTGTCCCAGTTTTGAAAAGTTGGTCATTTTCCCCAGTATGGGGAAAAACTATTACAACAGCGATAGATTACAATTCCGCAGATGTACTTTATGGAGCCAAAGCAAATGATTACAAAAGAATCTGGCTGTAGAAAAAATGTATCTTGAAAAATAAATCAATTAACATGCATCTTCATTTGGGCTGCAGGTCTTGTTCTCAAATAAATGCTGAAATAAATATAATCAGAAAACATTTCCTACTTTTGCTGGAGAATCAAAACATTATTAGCACTTGACAGTCTTTATAATGTTAGAAAAAAACAACTTGAACTGCCCAGCCCCAGAAAAAACTGAGGACAGAAACATTATTAAGAACAGAATTTCTGGCTTCTGTTAATAAAGGAACATGGTCTCATTATTCTTTTAAAACTAGAATTATGTCATATTACAATTATATGAATCTGAATAAAAGTTCATCTATAAACAACTTGCTCAGATATATAGTTAGGAGAGATACACATTGTTATTCAAATATATCCCAGGTTCTTATGGAATATCATCAAAGAACTCTGGAGATGGAATTGTTTCATAGGATAATGCATGTGAAAGCACATTACTCTGAGAAGTAATGCTAGCAATGTTGAATTCTCCAGAATGGTAATATTTGTGAAGAATTGGAAGAAGAACCCGAGTAGGGCATTGATCAACAGGACATTTGCCAGCCACATGAGGTAACAATGCTAATACCAACATTATTACCCCCACCATGTTGCATTCAAATCTCCTTTTTAGAAAACTCTTCATTGATTCAAAAAACGATAATTGAGAAGATCTAAGCATCACATCTTGATTTAAATAATTACTACTCCTGCAGAAAACTGCCCTGAAAAGTAGAGCACTGAGCATATAGATCAACTGTTAGAATGGTAGACTCATTAATCTTTGATATGTAGTTTTGCTACTGCTGATAGACAGAAAGGTGCCAATTTAATTATGGTGATTTTGATAATAATAATTTACTCAGAAGTGCCACTGCTTTACAGTCTTGAAAACAATGTGTTGGGCCCAGAGCAAGTTAGTTGACATTTTTTGGTGTGTATTCAAATCAGTGGAAAAGTTGCTATCAATGTCTCCTATCAAGTTGAATAAAAATTAATTTTAATACATTAAATAACCTAAACACTTTAATTCATACTACTGTAGGAAGGGTCATATAGAAATTTATTTATTTATTTATTTATTTATTTATTTATTTA